AAATTAAAAAAAAAAAAAAAAGGCCTGTAGGGCTTTCAAAACCCTACAACCCCAATTTTAAAAAAAAAATTCACTTACTTTTTTACCCCCAAAAAAATATCCAAAAAAAGGGGCCGCAAACTAGGCCTGGTGGCCGCGGCTGCGGCCGAATTGCCCGCGGCCTAGGCCGCGGGTGTCACATAGCCGTGAGAGATAGCTATGCTTGCAGGGGTCCCCTCTATATAACCTTAAGAGTGGGTAGGTAGTGAAAGACCAAAGAATTTGAGAGAATAATATAGTGTAGTTTTATTGGAAAAGAAAAGGTTAAACCACCAGTACCCCGCCCAGCTATCAAGTTCGAGGCTCAGAGTAGGTAGCCTGATCATTCGCAAGCCTCGGACTGTATTGCCGAGCGTCATACAACTGGTAGTACATCAGGGAAAAATTAAGAAAAAAAAGAAAAACACATAAAAAATACAACATTTTGCGAAAAAAAGAAGAAGGAAATCAGACATGCCCAACGAGAACGAATCTTCAGCGATAAAGAGGAAGATTCATTCTCATGAGAGGTTCACTCACAGACACAGAGAGAGAGAGAGAGAGAGAGAGAGGGCGTCAGAGAGTCTGACGCCAAGTTTGGTGCTCGGACACTGCCCTACGCTCGAAATGTGCAAAATGAGAATGAACTTCCCGCTAGAACATGGGCAAATGCGCCCACAGACACTTCGATGCTTTTTTTTTTGGTAAATGAGCGGGTCACGACGCCCTCTCTCTCTCTCTCTCTCTCAACATACAAATGAGAATGAATCTTCTGTGATTACGCTGAGAGAATGTTCAAATGAGAATGAATTTTCGAGATAACGTTGAAATTTCTTTCTCATTTGAACGTTGAGAGAGAGAGAGAGAGGGAGGACGTCAGAGAGTGTCTGTGGCTGAGTTTGGTGCACCAAACTCGGCGTAAGACACTCACCTAACTAGGTGTCAGACACTCTGACGTCCTCTCTCTCTCTCTCTCTCTCTCTCTCTCGTTATTACCCCCCTTCCCCCCCCCGGCTGCGGCTGTTATTTTTTTGTT